CAGAAAGCTTGTTATGCGATGCTTGTTGTGTCGTTTTCCTTGAAAATAAACTTAATATAGTTGTTGAATAAAAGTTGAATAGTATGTACATTCTTCTATTTCACTCCTGTATAGATATATTTAATATTTAAGGGTCGATTCTGTAACTCTTAACGACAGCTTTTTACTCTATGTAATATCTGCGCAATGACATCAACGACTGTCACGTTAGAGTTATAGAATCAGCCCCTAAGCCACAGCATTTGCAATTATTTGCATTTGATCATTGTATTACTTAAAATTAAGCATTACGTATCTTTGTAATAAGGAAAAAATTAGAATTACAACGAGAATTTATAACAGTAAAATTAAATAAAATTCTATTCCCCCCGTTTAATCTAGATTCTCTAAATTGAATTTGCCAATTTGTTGAGAGGGCATTAGCGCAACAAACTTCCGGGATAACTTCCCGACAAAACTTCCATATTATTTTATCCGTTGTAATTGCACTTTAAGCCGGTTTTAGTTGCAAGCCGATCGTAAGTTTGTTGCGACAGCCAATATAAAGCGTTGATTTAAAAATGCAAGCTTCAGATTGGCTGTCGCAACAAACTTGCGATTGGCTTGCAACTAATGTAGAACCAGCTTTAGAAACACTTCAGAAAAGTTTCTTTCAGTTTCATTCTGGCTGTTCTAGTCAATGTCACAGATTATCGGTATTGTTTAAGGGCCACGTGCTGTGAACACGTGTTTCAACATTTTAGTGTGCTACAGAGCTTCAGCAAGATTAAAGATATTTTTATTCGATCGCTCGCATTTATTTCGTGATGGTCAGTACTAGCTAATTTGATTTAGGCACTAGTTGCATTAATGTCACTTTGATTTTAAGTGAGATTTAAAAACTCTATCTGTTTTATTTTAAAGCCAAAAAGAGACAGAGACAGAAAGAGTTTTAAGTCTCACTTAAAATCAAAGTAACATTGGTGCAATACACTTAAATCGATACACTTAAACAATTGATTAATTGTGATTTTTCCAATAGATGCAAGACAAACGTACGCCGCCGTCTCCATCTAAAGTGGAAGATCTCGTGGATGACGAGATGATTATAGAAGATGATATTGAAGAGGTTATTGATTTAAACGATCCAATTTTCGAAAGCTCGAGCTCATCGGATGAAAATGAGAATCCACGGACGGAGGATCTTATGCAGGAGGATATTGTGGACGATGCCATACGCGTCTTTCGTGGTCATAAGTCTCGTAAGAAAGCTTTTACATTTCTCTACACAAGACCGATTAGCATGCGAGGCATTAGATGCTTTCTATTTGATGACACAAGTCGACACAAGTCATTCTGTCTTTAGATGCTTTCCATTTAGTGGCAGAAATCGAGGCAAACATTAATTGCTTTTCGTACAAATGATACTAAATTTAAAGTTATGTATTTCATACTCAGATAATGACTTACTTTGACGACAAAGTTATTGTATAACACCACAGATTTATAAAAAAAAAAAAACCTCATTTTTAATATGAGCTAACAAGACTCAATAAAGCACACAGTCTTGAGTTCATGCAGATTGTAAGTAAAAATTCAGTTGAATCTCCCTTGTCAGAATTTAAAGGAATATTCAACTGTTATGATGTCATAATTAGAGAGATGTAAGAATTATCTGAGTTTTAGTATAATGGACAGCAATTGTCGTTTCATCTTTGCATTCAATGTAACAAAGACAAAATCACACTTGTGTTGACCATTTGTTACCAGGTGAAAAGCACTTTTTATTATTCAGAATGCTAAGAAAGATAAAACAAGATTTTTATTAACTCAAGTCAGTAATGGTACTTTCTAGCAAGAGAGACAGTGAATTAATACTATTGCATCATTATATCTTTGTTTTATAATTGTCTAATAAATGATAAAGATAGAATAACACAATAGCTCTGATAGCACATTCTCTGAATGCAATGTAATACAGTGATCATTTAATCTTCAGGTATGTTCTACTTGGCATTCGCAAGCATTATTTGTCTTTATTTGATAACCAACAAGGATGAAATGATTTCTTGAGTGTTACTAAGTATTAAGTGGAATATATATTAAGTGGAATATATTCTTATGCCCATTTCTTCACTTCCAGATAAGTTGCAGGTAACTTTATCCAGGAAATCTCCATTGTATTCTGGATGATATCTTTTGGATAAAGTTATCTAGAGGTGAAGAAATTGGACATTAGTGACACAAGTCACTAATTTTAGCTACTTTTCTTTTAAAAGAAAATTGATTTAAACATTTTTCTGTCCTTAGCATTTAATGAATAACAAAATTAAACTTTTGTGTTGATAATGTCTTCTAAAAGGAAAGCAATCAAAAATAGAACATTGTGTGAGACACTTGTGTGAACTTCTGTTATCAAACAGCATTTATTAGTATTGTTCGTTTTGTTTCTGGAGAGCTCTGGGGTTAAAATGAATGTCAGATGTCATATGACAGATGTCATATGTAGTGTGAATTCTACACTTCAAATATGCTGGGTTCAGAGTGACCCCAAGCAGCTCCCAAGAGATAAAACGAACAATGCTATAGTTTAATTTTTACATTGATAAACAACAGAATATAATCATTAACTGAGTTATATCGTCTGTGTTCTTACTAGAAAGCACTCATTAACTCTCTCTTTAAATTGATTTCAGATCACACAGTATTTTGCTGCTCGTTAAGCAAGAATGGTAATTTAGTGGCAACGGGGGGTGAGGATGATAAAGGATATCTCTGGAATGCCAATACGGGCGAAGGTATTCTCAGTACTGATGATAGCCATAACGATAGCGTTATATTCTCTGATTTCAATTACAACGACAAATATGTAGCCACAGCCGACATGCGTGGCAAAATAAAATTGTGGCGAATAAGTGACAAAATTTGTGTCTGGGAAACTGCCTTAATGAACGATATTAACGTGAGCATTCTTAGATAACAATTATTAAAACTTTTTTATAGCTGCACATAAATAATTTAAAAATAATAAATAATTTAATTACGATTTGATCAACTGAAAAGCATAGGCAATAGGAACAGGAAATAACATATTTTAATCAGAAATATATATGTTCTAGTTTACATGATTTCTGATAAGTTGAAATATGTTAATTCCTGTTTTTATTGCCTGTACTTTTCAGTTGTCTCAAGAAAAGCAATAGTTTAAAAGAAAAGATAAAAAAAAATGAGAAGTACAAAAAGTTTCAACTTTAAATCTGTTATTTCTTTAAACACAGCATCTACAACAATTTATTAATAATCTTGTTTTATTATCTAGTGGATAAAGTGGCACCCTTTCAGTGACATCTTAGTAACAGGTGTTGAAACAGGAGAGATTTATATGTTGAAAACACGAAAGGATGATTGCAAGATCTTTGCACAGGGTAGTGGTATTAAATCAGAGGCTGGTATAATTCTTCCAGATGGTACGTGATAGGAATATACGCTTAGATTTTTGCTCAAGAGAGAATAAAATATTAATTTAAATCTTGCAGGAAAACGCGCCGTAATAGGATATGAAAATGGTATGATTCACGTAATAGATTTAAAATCGAACACTCTAGTATCCAACACTCCCCCTGACCAAACACGATTATATGGACATTCAAGCAGTATCATTGCTCTTGATTGTTACATAGATAATAATCTATTAATTTCGGTATCAGTGGAAAGCCAGACTATATTAAGCACAGTACATAATGGCAAGGTACAAGAAACTCTTATTTTCTTAATATTTTCAAGGAAGAATAGTATCATTATATTCATATTTTTTTGCTGCATTTCCTGTGCTTGAAAAGAGATGATTTCTGATAAAATTATTGGCTTTTATGTTATCCATATAAAGATTAAAATTGATCGGTTATTTAAAATTTTTGTCAATTGCTGACTTTGATTGTAGCTCAAATCAAACTACGACCCAAACCGGAGCCCAGAAACTCCTCAGGCTTATTTTCAATAATTAAATTTATTATGAAATAAAGTCAGCTTCATATCTATACTTTGCAGAATAATAACTTTTACGAAATTATAATCTGTATATGAGATGGAAAATCGAGTCCAGAGATTTGCTAATTACGAATTTATTGTTCTGGTACAGATCCACATGATATCTCGATTTGTAAGCTTAATGATGTGAAATATTTTTCAGGTAATTTGTATACTTCAAGATTTGCATAAACGTGGCAATAACAACGATCATGTAGAAGTTGCAGCTTTTTGTAAAGATCCTACATTCCCTGTTGCTGCAAGTGCAACAGTCACGAGTGAAACATATGGAAAAATTTACATATGGGATATTTCTAAACAAGTACTATTTTTTATATTTTTATATCTAGAGTTTCTTTTTGAACATTAACAAGTTCTAAGTTTCAATTCTCTCCAGAGTCTTAGGCACGAAATGGATCAAGAAGGAGGTGTCACAAAATTAGTTTGGATTAAGGCATCGATATTTTTTACATCGGGATTAGATGGCAAATTAAGATGTTTCGATGCCAGAATAGGTCACTGCCTTCGAATATTCTCAGGACACAAAGGGGCCTTATATGACGTATGCATATCCAGGTAAACCATAATAAGCAAATTTGTGTTAATTGCGTGAGAAAAAAATAAAATAAAATTATTATCGGAAAAAGATTTTGCGAGTAGCTTAATTTTAATGTATTAAAATTAAGTTCTCATTATACTTGTACGAAGTAAACTTTTCTTACTTAAATTCGGATAGCTATTAAAACGTAAAAAATAACTATTAAATCGTACATTTTAATAAATGTTTATAGTTTTGTACAGCAATATTCTTGTGCGATTAAAATTATTTCAATTTTTTGAAAATCACATTTTGAAAATCTGGCCTTATTAGAGAATTTTCTGAAATTTCTTGTATATAAAATACGTTCGATTTCTTCTGTGATATTTAATATTATATATTTTGTAATTTTTCAGTGATGAGAAGAAAGCAATAACAGTTTCCGACGATGGTACTGCCAGGCTTTTTGACATTTCATCTATACACTGTTAGAAATGTAACACTACGAGCTTCCTTTACATGTAAATGAAGCTCGTGATTATGAATGAAATTAAAAGTAATGAATGATTTAACTGAAATTAAGTTACAGTAATTACTTAAATGTAATGAATGTGTGTACATTAAATTTCATAAATTTAGTAATGTAATAAATAATAATAAATCATATAAATTAATTACTTTTAATAAAATTTTATGAAAAGTACATTAAAATTTCATAAATTTCATAATTTTCATGAAAAATATATTTAAATTTAATGTATATGTATACAAATATACTTTTTAATTATAAATACATTAAATTTAATGTAATGTTATGAAATTAAGTTCAAATTGTGTAATTTAAAATTTAGTGAAATTTAAGAACATTTCTAACAGTATGTTAATATGTGATGAGAGAGGTAGAATATTAAAATATTAAAAAATATGTATATAGACGTATATATAAGCATATATATAAATTCATGTATATTTACACAAGTGTGATTTATAAAAAATATATACTTTTTAATAAAATTATAAAAAAGGAGAATTTCAAAAAAATATATTCTGATATATGCAGTCTAAAAAAAGTTTCTTAATATTGTTTAAATATATTATTGAAATCAAAACTGAGCGAATTATTAAATACAAAGTAAATGAACGAGATTTCCCAATTTCAAATTAGAATTCGATTAGAATATTTTCGAGTAGAAATATGCAGGGGTTTCATTTCTCCTCAGCACTTATAATAAATGCATATAATTTTTTTGTAGAATTCCTAATTTTATTCAGATTATTTCAAACTACGCTTGTTTGTAAATTTTTTATTAATAGCTTTTTTGATGGACGATTGAGGTGACCATTAAAGCTTATTTGAGTAAGTCTCGACGCTTGGATCATTGAAAAATTCCTTTTTTATAGTTTTGCAAATATTTACGAATTATAAAAGTTTCGTTGTTTTTATTTCACTATTTATGACAATTTGTCTCTGTACCATTCCGCATCGAGTTGGTATCGCTTGTCTCTCCACACAAAATGTGTCGGTGCGTTTCCTTCGCCGTTTTCAAAGTTGAACGAAGCACTGAATTCAATAGCTAGATTAGATCTCACTAAACCAATCCCACCCATTTTCTCTGGTGCAGGATGATACACTCTTCCGGTTTTAATGTTCATAAATAATCTTTGTGGCTCGAACTGCACCTGCGGCAAATTTAATGGTTACTATAGCGTCAGTAAAACTCAATTAAAATGTTACTATGACTGAGTTGTTTCACTTTTCGATTAACTTTAGCTTACTCTTTTATTCCTTTATTTATCTATTAGATAAATTATCACGTAGTTTACTGAAAGATGAAACTGATATGTAGCTGATTCTGCAAAATTACCGTCAATAAATCATCTGTGTGCGCATAACTGAACCAGTCCTCTTCTGCGCCAGTTTCTATGTTATACTTTTGAATCACCTTCGTAAAAACCAATGGCAAATCATCACATCTCACATAATTTCTCTCTACACCACAAATTGACAAGAATGGAAAGTCATCTGTGTAACGTTCGGTGTTGTTTTTCCTTAGACGCTTGAAGAAGAATGCCAGGAATTTCTTGTCTATGACAATTTGCAACACACATAAAAAAGATGCTTTTCAGTTAAGATAAACATTGTTGTATACCTTTAAAGCAGGAAGTGAAATTCCTTATGCGGACATCATCCAGGAACAACTGTGACAAATATTATAAATAATTATTTATGAGATGCTCATTCATTATCCTGGTGAAAATTTTTCCCAGAATTTTCACACATTTGAACACATTAAAAAAATACAGAGAAAATTTACTTTTTAAAAATAATTTTTCAATATGTAAATTCTGAAATCTAAGATTTCTCCTTCTGTAATTTCTGAGAAAAATATCTTAAATACTTTTTTAGATTTTATAAGATTTCAGAAATTACAGAATAAAAAAATCTTAAAATGTTTCAAAATTTATGAAGAATTCTAGAATAAATGTAGATGTTCTCAGCTTATGAAAGTGTTCCAATTTATATAAAAAAAAATCTGAAAAATTTTAAAAGTTAAAAAATATGTAGAAATTCTGAAAAATGTTGAAATTCACTTTAAAATTCTAAAAAATTATATGAAAAAAATCTGAGAAAAGGTTTCACGAGTGATAAAAACTGAAACTTCAATAGATGAAATGAAAAATACCATGCCTTGATGATCAATATAATAGAAGTATTCTCGCACACGAGGTTCAGGGGATTGACCTTGAATGTATGTCACGTAACTTCTCCCAAGAATATTGGATAAAAGAAATGTTCGATTTACTGCAAAGCCAGTTCGCATATAAAATATCGACGTCATTTTGCTAAATTTGAATTCAACAATAATCACGATATAACCTAAGATTTCTTCCTCTTTTCTCTCTTAAAGTAGATCTATTAATATAGAAGAAAAATAATGTAGAAATAATTTGTTAGAAAAAATTATTCTTATATGTAAACAGATTCATAATTTATTACCTAAAAAAAGCTGCATTTGATTGTATCACAGTTTAATATCACACTGCGTCATAAATATATCAATTATATATCAATTTTATATATATATAT